GGGGTTGTAAATTAGGTGGGGTGGGGTCTCAGGGAATCACCAGGGCAGAGCAAACAGCAATGGCTGCCCATCAGCCCTGCCCCAAAGAGGCCCTGGGGTCTCTGTGTCCCACGGCCCATGCAGAAACAATGAATGCTGCAAGCACCTCTGTGAGAAAGCCGCCCCCACCTTCTGGCCAGATGCCAGACATTCCAGTTTCTCTCCATATGAGTCTGGGTGCCCAGAGTCTCACCTGGAATTGGAGTTCAGAGCAGTCAGGAGCTTGTATCTCCCTCCCGATTGAAAAAGAGAACAGTGTACCCAGCTGCCAGCCCCTTTCACACGCACCTCCATGCCTCCACACTTCCACACCTCTGCACCTCCTACCGGACTCAATGCACTTTTCTGTTTCCTTCTAGTTGTAGAATTTCCACTCAGTCAGCCTTCCCGTGGTTCTGGATGATATTTGTTTTGTCTTTTAGTTGTAGTTTTAATGTGGCTGTGCATGGCAGCAAGTTCAGGTGTTTACCTCTGCCGCCATCTTGGTTTTCCTTGATGAAAGTTCTTTATAGAAAAATGCTGACTTATAAATGTAGAAGGAATGATATAATTAGAAAAGCACCATAATGAACAAATTGATTTAAGCAACAGTTGTAAATGAATGAAGCTATTAGATGAAAAGTAGATGGGGAACTTGAAATTGGAGGGATTAGTCTATTGCCACCTGAACTCACACACACACAAAATTGAAACAATTAAACACTATAAGCCTTTTATGCCCTAGCCAGTTTGGCTCAGTGGATAGAGTATTGGCCTTCTGACTGAAAGGTCATGGGTTCAATTCTGGTCAAGGGCACATGCCCGAGTTGCAGGCTCAGTCCCCAGTAGGGGGTGTGCAGGAGGCAGCCAATCAATGATTTTTATCATTGATGTTTCTATCTCTCTCCCTCTCTCCCTTTCTCTCTGAAATCAATAAAAATATATTTAAAAAAATAAACACTATGAGCTTTTCATGTCATGAAATAGGAAGCATAAAATACTACCTATGAAATATTCTTTCCAAAAACCTGAAGTGAAATTCAATTAAGCCATTTAGAACTACACTGGCCAATACAGTAGCTCTTGTCACACGTGACTATTAAGCTTTAAATTAAGTAAAATAAATTTTAAAAAAATTCAGTTCCTTTTTTCCACTAACCACATTTCAAGTGTCAAATTTTCACCTGCGGCTAGTGGCTATAGTATCAGTGCATGTTATAGAACATTCCACCATGACAGAGTGTTCTATTTAACAGTGTTGCTCTAGTGCTAACTTCTGTTTTAGGCAAAAAGTGGTCTAGAGAAAGAGATTAAATGGCACTAGAAACAAACAAATAGACAAATATATTAAATATGATATATTCTCCAGGTTTCGTTGACCCAGTTTCTGCAACGAGTAGATGGAATGAATAAAAAAGGGAAAAGAATAATGCTTTATACTAAAAGAGACAACCAGATGTAATGCATGGACCTTGTTTGGATCCAATTTGAACAAGCCAATTATAAGTATACTAGAGGCCTGATGCACAAAATTTGTGCAAGAGTAGGCCTTCCTTTTCCCAGCTGCTGGCACCAGCTTCCCTCTGGCACCCAGGACCTGGGCTTCCCTCAGAGCCCCAGCTTCCTCCAGAAGGTCGTCCAGAAGGACATCCAGTCTAATTAGCATATTACACTTTTATTATTATAGATTTTCAATGTAAGTGGGAACCCACCTACATAAGCACCTACATCACTCACATGGAACACATACACAGCAGTAATGAAGTGAAACAGTAAAAAAATTTAAAAGAAAAATATAAATGGGAGATGGAGACATAACCATGAAATGACGTACATTGAGTCTGATGTAACCTGAGGACTGCCTGCAAATTGTTCGACCTGGAGTTCCACCAGGAGTTCAACCACTCGCTATAATGTGCGCTGACCATCAGGGGGCGGTGCAGAACATGGCAGGAATTGGTGATGCAGTGCTGGCAGTGGGTGGCAGTAGAGTCACTGCCAGCCCGATGGGCACTGATGAGAGCAGAACTGTGGTGGGATGGTGGAGCAGGTGAGCAGGTGGTGCCAGGCCAAGGTGGGTGCCAGCGGGGCCCAATTGCCCCACTGATTGCTCCACAGAAGGTGACCAGTGGCGGCAGCAGGGGACCGTTGCCTGGCTCCCAGGTGCTGAAGGAGCCGGGCACAGAGGGCCTGGCCCCGATCCATCATCCCACAGGCGGGATGGTGGAGAAGGTGAGGGGACAGTGCCAGGCCACAGCAGGGTGCCAGGTAGGGCTGTGGGGCTGTGAGGCTGGGGGCGCGAGCTGGGGCCCGATCCCTACAGACCACTCCGAGGGACCCCACCCGTGCACGAATTCGTGCACTGGGCCTCTAGTAATGTTATAAGCCTGGATCATTGGAAAAATCATGTGATCTCTAGAATCCTGGAGAGAAGAGGATTTATGATCAGATGCTTTCCTTTTTCCTCCACTGAAGAAAGGCTAAATTCTAAAACCCTTTATCTGACAGTGATCCTTAAAGATAGAGGAGTAGAGAACCGTTTTCAAGCCCCACTTGCTAGATTGGTTTTCATTAGTTCTGGACTGGACAAAATTGGTTTCCATTGGTTCTTTTTTTCCTCCTCTCACAAAAAGAAGGGGAGAAGGTCTATCTTTTAAAAAAGATAGTCCAAAGTTCTATCTTTTAAAATATTTTATTTTTAATTGTGATAACAAGCATATAACGATGCATTTTAAAGTGTATAGGTCAGTAGTGTTAAGTATATTCATACTATTGTGCCATCAATCTCCAGAACTTTTTCATCTTGCAAAACTGAAACTCTACCTATTAAACTACAACTCACATTTTCCCTTTCCTATCTGGCCACCACCATTCTACATTCTGTGTCTATGAATTTCACTATTTCAGATACCTATACAAACGGAAACATACTTATCTTTTTGTGACTGACTTACTAGTATTTCACTTAGCATAATGTCCTCAACGTCCACCCACATGTAGCATATATAGATTTCCTTCCTTTTTAAGGCTGAATAATATTCCACTGCATGTATATACCACAATTTGTTTATTAATTTATCTGCTAATGGACACTTAGGATTGCTTCCACCTCTTGGTCATTGTAAAGAATGTCTCTATGAAACATGGGTGTGCAAATCCAAAGTTCTTTGACTATGTGGTAGATTGCAAAATGGCCATAAATTATTCCCCTATCTATATCCAAGTGCCTTTGTGATGTGACTCTGCAGTTTCTCTCATCAAAGTGTGGAGTTTATATCCTTACTACTTGAATCTGGGACAGCCCAATGACTAGCTATGGCCAACAGAATGAGATGGAAGCAATATGGTACTAGTTCCAAGTTTGAGCCTTAATAGGTCATGAACACTTCTGCTTGCTCTCTTGGAACCCAGGTGAACAAACCCAGGTTAGATTATTAGGATGAGAGAGCATATGGAGCAGAGATCAGCCATCTCAGATGAGGCCTGAAAGATGTACATTCTATCTAATGGGTAGATAGCAATTATGGAGTCATGCTCATAATGTTTGAATGCTGAGTTGTTGTTTTTTAATATATTTTTTATTGATTTTTTACAGAGAGGAAGGAAGAGGGATAGAGAGTTAGAAACATCTATCAACTGCCTCCTGCACACCCCCCACTGGGGATGTGCCCGCAACCAAGGTACATGCCCTTGACCGGAATTGAACCTGGGACCCTTCAGTCCGCAGGCCGACGCTCTATCCACTGAGCAAACCGGCTATGGCTGAATGCTGAGTTTTATCAAAATCCATTTCAACATAATTCTACCAATTGTCAGCAAAACTGACCTGGATATCAGAAAGGTTTATTAGAAAATTCTCACCCTGAAATCTGTAGCATGTGATGCAGTACTACCACTCATTAAAACCGACTAGAAACACACCTGTTGCTAAAGTGGTCCTTACACAAAATATATAAAAAGCAGTTTCTAGTGTGACTTGTGCTCTGCACCTCTGCCGCTTGACATTCTAAAGCATCTCACCAATGGCTATGGCTACCCATTTTACAGATGGGAAACCGAGGCACCAAGAAGTTGTTGTACCAGTGGTTGTTAGGAGTTGCCTTTCTCTGCCCAGCTCAGGTGGAAGGGGATGGGAGAGAGAGAGAGTGCCCAGTAGAAAACACTTGGGGGGGAGAGGGGGGAGAGGGAGAGTGAGTGAGAGAGAGAGAGAGAGAGAGAGAGAGAGACGGAGGGGACTGGGAGCAATAGGGGCAAGTCTGTTTGGTGTCTTTCCAATCCCTAAAAGAGTAGAGAAGGTGCTCAGCCCAAGTTGCTAAGCAGCAGAATTATGAGCTACAAAATGATTGTTTTTTAAACATTTTTTCTGATTTGCTATGCAGCAATAGATAATTATATTATTTCTCATTTAACTATATGTATTCTGCCCTGGAAATTGAATCCAATTTCATAGGGACTTCAATGATCACTTCTATATCAAATGATTAGAAATCACTCTCCCTAGCCCTGACTTTGATTTTTTGCATAGTTCTATCTTGAATTTGGAACTCCATGTTGGATACTCTATTGTGACATCATGTTAACACTTCAAATTCAATAGTTTGAAAGCTGATTTTGTCATCAAACATCCAAGCCTTATATCTACTATTGATGTTTCTATTACTTTGGTGGTACTACCATTCTTTCAGTCAACCATACTTGAAACTTCAGTGTAGTCTCTGATTCCTTTCACTTCTTCCCATAGTCAGTCAGATGACATTTTTCAAAGTAACTTTTTGTCATAATTTATCTCTTTATATCTGTAGAACTACTCACTGATCAAAGCTTCCTCACTGTTCCCCTATCTCTGGCTTCTGCATCCTCAAGTTAATCTTTTTTTTTTGGACCAATTAAAGTCTATTTATTTGTTTGTAATCAGACAGAACACTACAATCTGTTCAACACTGGGCTAGACACTGCCATGATTAGGGGCAAGGAGGAAGGGGCAGGGCAAGGCCTTGGCTCAATTATGGAAGTCCAAGACAGAACCTTCTGGAAGACTCTTCCCTTACCCTGTGGGGCAGAAATAAAAACCACATGATAACCGTTGATTCAGATTAGAGAACCGAGGGCCCCTTGCTTGGTTGTCCACCTTCTCCTCCCTCTCAGACTGTGCACTGTGGCGATGGCTCCAGGACACTGCAGCAATGCTGGGCATGACTCTGCCAACCCCCTTTACTCTGGAGGGCAGGGAGCAAGCAGCTTTGGGGGATGGGGTGGAGGGAACGCCAGAAGCAAGTGATGTCCACATGCATGCTTCCTGGCACTGACACAGCCTCTTCTGTTCCCAGAGGCTGAGGACCACAAGGCAAGCGACTGCCCCCAGCCTCAAAGGCCAGGACCTACTTGATCAAACACCACACTCAATTCTTGTCTGCATCTGGTCAGGCCTCAAAACTGCATCTCACGGAACTGGGGGGGCTAGAGAGGAGGGCCCTTGGGACCCTCACCAGCACCTGTCCTCAGCCCGGTTCCCTGCGACAGTTCAACTGAATGGCACATCCAGGATGTGATGGGTAGTTCCTCGCTCTCTGAGACAGCAGGACTTCCAACAGAGGAGTGGGAAACCTTCCCATTATCTGACCACCATGCCAGGGAACTAAGCCCCAGAGCTCTGTGCTTGGGTGAGAAGCCTCCCACCACTCGCCAGCCTGTCCTGGGGAGGTAGGAGCTGCTCTTGCCCCCCAGGCTTCTGAGGCTGGTTCTTTACAAGGGTTTGGCATTCCCTTTATTTCACCCCTTCATTTTTCTGAGGCTCCTGTGTCTTTAGAGCCAAGTCTATCCGTAACACTTGGGTTCTTCCCTCCCAGGAGTTAATTCCGGCTTTGGAGGAAGGAGTTGGAAGAAACGAGCAGTGTGGGGGAAGAGGCCAGTGAGAACGTGCAGGGAAGGAAGCCCTCTCCTGCCCCCATACTCCCAGGGCAACAGAAGCAACTGACCACAATGAACACTGGCCAGCCTATGAGGCTGGTGCACTCACATGCACCAGAGGTTTCCAGAGCAGGAAGGAGGGTTGGAAGAGCCTGTTGGAGACCGGGCATACCCACCCCACAACGCTCTGCTCCCAAGCCCATGTAGCACCGGGCCTGCAGCTGGGGCAGGTGATGGGCCAGCTCCTCTGCAGAACACAGTTGAGGTCAAATGGCCAGGAAGGTGGGCTCCACAGGGCGCCAAGGGGTGGGACCTGTTGGAGGCTGCCCGGCGGACATCACATGGTCTGGCTGTATTCAATGCCTCCCTTGGTGGAGATGCTCGACCATGGCAGGAAGCTGCAGAGCAGGCTGTGAGCCTGGCGGTATATCCCTGAGAAGAAATCACACATCACCTCATCAAAAAAAAATGCATCCTGTGAGCTTGCTTTGTGAATGTCATCTGAAAGCAACCACAGCTCCAGCTGATGCTAGGAAGCCACTGTCTCTCACCCCTGAGAAGAAAAGGATATAAGATGGTCCAGGGAGGGTGGCCACCATTGATGTAGAGGACATAAGTGAAGCCATCTTTGAGGACCCCATGGATGGAATAATAATAGGGGAGATAGTGGTGCTGCTTGAAGTCTCTGTTTTCGTAGAAGCTTATTGCTGTGTTGTTGGTGGTGAGGACGTGCAGGTAGATGGCTTTGCAGTGGTCCTGGGCAGTGGTGGATATGTGATCTTTTAAAGTCTCAAGTAAAAGAGAACCTATGCCGTGCTTTCTGATTTCCTTCACTACTCTGAGACTTAGAATGTATGCAATTTGTATGTCAACAGAGAAGTTGGAGGCTAGAATATCGCCATCCTCCTTGTGTATCTTGGTCCTACTTTTTATTTCAGCTACTATCATTCCTACAATGGTACTCCTGTAGGTTGCAGCAAGGGAAAAGAACTTCTTGTGATGTCACGATACTATGAGTC